TCTCTCTCTCTCTCTCTCTCTCTCTCTCTCTCTCTCTCTCTCTCTCTCTCTCTCTCTCTCTCTCTCTCTCTCTCTCACTCACTCACTCTACAGAAAAAAATCTACTTATTTATTTATAAGAATTCTTTGCGGCCACGATATTTATATGTATATGGTCTCCGAGAACGCAAAAAAACCACATCTCGCCACAGCTCGCGTCATTTTTCTTGCCGTGAAAGTTACCGTCGACAACGAGTCGACGTCGATTCGATTGCTCTTACGAACGAGAGAGAGCTCGGATGCACTACGTGGTATCCGCAACGGGTAGTCCAACGTGTATGTCCAACGTAACACGACGACGTGCATTGTCCAGGTGGACAAAGGCGGGAGAGTCACTTGAGCGAAATCGTGCGCCGGATGGGAAATGCAACATTTTTAGCTGGAAACCCGTGGAGAGCTCATTGGATCTGGAAAACAGGGACAACGGCGGATGGGATGCGTTAAAATTCCGTTATCGACTAAACAACACACGAACCCACGGCATCCCTTGCAATTTCCAACTTCGACGTCTCTTTTTCTTTCCCCCGCCCCCTCCCACCACCGTCTCTCTCACTCGCGTACCATGCACCTTTACATATTTAAGAGATCGCATCGAGCGTGCAAAGTAGACCTCATTTCACTCGCCAAAGTTCCAACATCAGGGCTCCACCGGCGAAAATTGATTTTCTAACGTAACCGGGAAACGAGATATTTCTCCGCCTACAAAGAGCCCGCCAAGTGATGCCGTTTTACATGGAAATTCGTCTGGACCAAAGCGCGAGTGTACACACTCGCGTACAGAAACCACGATCGCGAACAACGGATTGTAAACAGGGTGCGTTTCAGGTGCTCTCGATAGGGAAAAATCGCATTACAATATGGAGGAGGAAAACCTGTGTGATAAATGGGGCGATCAAACGATATAAAATTTTCCGACTGCATGAAACGTGTAACTGCCGTGGGACGTGACCTAGGCACGTGACACTCCTCAGGGCGGAAAGATCATTAAGCGTGTCGCTCGTAGCACGTCCACTTTCAATATTCACCCCCCGGCCATCATCGATCTCATTTATTACATGCGTAGGGGATGAACGATCGTCGTTTTTTCTAATACGGTTCCTGATTGAATTTCTCGCATCTCTCGGGGATGGAGAAGGAGGAGGGAGGGGGGGGGGAGGGGAGGGAAAGGGAGGACGGGAGGAGGACGCGATTTCTTCCATCGATAAAAAGCGTGACTTGTGTGCCCCCACGAGGAAAACACGTTCATGGCGAAAGAAAGTATCTTGGGAGAAACTATCTATCATATCGCTGGAATAGCCCTGGAGGTAGCAATGTGTTACGGATGATCAGTGTAGCATGTTGGAAATTATATTCCGAGCCCGTGTGTACCGTGTGTTGCCGAGACCGTTGTATATACACGCGCGAAGACGTCGCGTCGGTATGCGCAAACAAGGGCGGTAAAGTTCCTTCTTTACACACATACAAGGAACGTAGGCTGGCGGCGGAGAGAACAATTTATCGTTCACGGCGGTTGTGCATTTTCGCGTTTATTCGAAATTCTGACGTCGCGCCACCTTGCACCGCGTTTAATGCCTTTTTGTAATAGCGTCGGTTGCGAGATATTAGCTTGACTTTTACGTACGCAACTTCGTTCCTGATATGACTCTAAAATATTGTACTGTACATTGCGTTCCTCTATGAAACCCATGATAAATTGGACTGTGTAAATTAATTACGTCGATTTGCTTTCGCTTCTTCCGCGGGTATCAAAGCGACATCGCGGTTTCTTTACGAACGCGGTAAAGTCTTTGAAATTAAAATCTAAAAAAAAAAGGAAAAAAGAGTAAGAGAAAGTCATCAAAATTATATAAATTATTGTTTATAGAATTCAGAGAGTATCTTACGCCTGTAATAAGTGCCAAGATTAATTGAAATGATCACAGCAAATCAGACAAGTTTTTTTTTTAAATTTTGGGTGATATTCTCGAATTGCTGCTCGAAATTTCGAAATAGCTACCGACTTTCTTTTACGGAAAATATGATATACAGAGGATTTCCGCGGCCCTCGTCGTCCTCGCGAAGAGCTTAGAATTCAATTACACCAGCTGTGGCTGATTCTCTTAATAAGCACCTTCGACGGATCATCGTAAATCCACCGTTATGACGTCATCCTCATTCCGTCCTCCTGTCTCTACTATTTCTTCTCCTTCTTCTTATTTTTATACATCTAATCTTAAAACTTTTATCCTTCACCTTGCAATACAAAAAGCATAGCAGAATAATAAGTTCCTTTGATCACCGATTTTAAGTCTATCGATTTAGAAACGAGATATGATTTATGGCCGTGACGGTTCTCTTCGATTACCTACACGTACAATCGAATGTCCGCAGAGTGAAGCGCCGTATTGTGATCTCGTTCGCATTGTGAATCGGCTGAATGCTTCTAAAGTTGATGTTTTCCTTCCTTTGCTACTCCTTCGCGACTCACGTTTGACATATGATCGCATTAGGACGAGAGAAAACGAGTGAAAGATAAAGCTCGGGATGCTTTCATCCCGCGTGCCATTAGAGGAGGAACGACTGAAGGGACAAGTGTACCAATGAGAATATTGTTCGTTTCCCCCGGTTCGACTTTAGTTGAAACTACGGATGCAATTATTCAATCGGAACGAGTCGGAAAAAAAAACGTCGTAAGACGGAGAGCTTAAAAATTCACGTAACGTTGTTTCTAAATGTTCCAACGATCGTTGGGGAAAAAGCATCTGCGCGCCATTTGCCTCGCCCGCCCACGCACGAAGAAACGAAGATAGAGATTTTCACATGGGAGGACATGGGGGGGAGGGAGGGAAGGGGAAACGCCGCTGGAAAGCATCCGTGCGGGATTTATTAATGGTTTCTTTTTCTATTTGCCGCAAACTCGGGGACAGCGCTTTGTAAGCGATACATTCGCTCGTGCACGCGCGGCAAAGCATTCCTCGCGCGCGAATCGTAACGGAGTAGAAAACCCATATGGAGTCGCGCGCGTGCGACCGGCGAGGGAGGGAGGGGGGTGGCGACTCCCTGACAAGGGGATCCGGATTCACTTCGGTCGCATGCCGACAAATAAAAGCCGGCACGGGCCGCCATCCGTCTTGCCGGGCATCGGATTGCGATTGCGCGTTGCAGCCGCACGGGAAACGACGGTAATCTGAGGACGTAACCGTTGCCCGGCGCGAATACGGCTTACTCGTGTAAAGTCCCTCCCCCTCCCCTCCCCTTCCCCCTACCCT